AGGCTCGCTGTCCACTTTGCTGGAAAAAGGTTGAAACAGAAAATATATTAACAGTTATTTTATTGGGTCACATTTTGAGAGAGATTGCTCTGCACGGACTTTTTCTCAGTCCTCTACGCCACACTATTATTTTGTACTACCCTTCATAAAATAAGTTTAAATTGATGTATGACCTAGAATTTAATGTTTTTCAAAATATCCATAGTAGTTCGATCCAGGTGTATAAAGAATGCACGCGGCGTGGAGTAATAAATGTCAAAGATATTAAAAAATTAATTAAGTACTTGTATTCAAGGATGCGCTCTACCGAAGTCATTTGGTTCTCCAATTCTGCGTTCTGACGCATGCCCCACTGAAACATACCGGTGAGACCGATACTCTGCGTGATCGCCAGGCCTACAAATCCGCCATCCATTGAACCTTGACTGTAGTTGTCTAGCACTCGAAAGCTCAGCGTGACCAACGTGATGTACAGTACACAGAAAACATCCAGCCAAAAACCGAAGGCGCGCGAGGTCGAGATAAAGATATACCATGCGGACGAATGAATATCCTGATAATTATCAAATTCCTTTGTGAGAATCGCTTCCGCCCCAAACGCGCGAATCGTCGACAACCCTTGAAGTGTCGCGCTTAGGTGAGCAAACACCGGCGAACGTGCTAAGAGAAATTAGAAATTCCATTTAGTTTACCCGAAGAATTACAATTTATCGTAAATTCCACACTGAAAAAAAGTCTAGTTATAGCTATAAAATATTGAGTAAAATAGTTTCAACTAAATGTTGAGGTAATATAACTAAACATAAGTTTATCTTTACAAATATTTAGTAAATATTACTAAACAGTATTACCAACGGTAATACTTACTATATATTTGTAAAAGTAAACTTATGTTTAGTTATATTACCTTAACATTTAGTTGAAACTATTTCACTCAATATTTGATAGCTATAACTAGACTTTTTTTTCAGTGCGTGAGAGTAATGATTCGGTTTCTATCTGTGATGGAATTTATTTTAGTCTATCGAAGATACTGTGTCGACTATCAAAAGATGAGTTTGCGATACTCACTGACGCCTTCAAGACGCTTGACGCTACGACTGGTGGCCAGATAGAATATTCTCATGTAATAAAAGACAATACCAATTAGCACCGTGGGTATCAGCAGCCACACGT